TGTTGTTGTAGTCTCGGACTCCTCACTGCTGCTCACGACCGGGGGCTCACACACCTCAGGAGGCGCCTGGGACACACAAGAAAACACATTAGGGAAGAAACACTAGTAAAAAAATTCTTTTAACATATTCCCAGAGAAATTTGCAGGAATTTTGTTGCAGAATTTCGTTTCATTGTTCTGGGTTTGAATCCCCAACACAGTAACATGTCCCAGTGTTGTGTCAATGGGAAAGGCACTTTCATAAACATTTCCTAACCTGACTCGGGTAATAATGAGTAGAAAACTCACCCCAGAAGCATCCTGAGCAGCAGCATGGCTCTTGATGGGGCCATTCAGTAGAGTATCTAACCCTGAGGCTGGTTAAGGAGGATAAGGAAGGTCAAATTTAGTGATAATCATCTGCAGGATCAAAAGTTATCATGATAGCATAAATGATCTCAAACTGTCAAAGGATTGCAAGAAAGAGTGTACATGCTTACCTGATATGGTGGCATTAGTAGTGGTAGAGGGTTCAACAGCACTTGCACTGAAAACAAGTGATATCCTTAATGAGTTTCACTATGATATGTAGGAACAAGAAATCTAAACTTCAAACTGTCTGATTGTTGAAATGAAAAAGAATTGAAAAATATTGGTGCGACCTGGAAATTTAACATTTGAACTGAAGTAGTATTATTCAACATACCCAAAAATGTCATCCTGAGGCTGTCCTACTGTTGGTATTGAAAAAACAGTTTAGTGAACAACTTGAAGTCCATTTTCTAAAGCTCAATAAACAATGCCAAATGCCATCAAAGAAAATGATTTCAGCTTTTTCAATACACTTTGACAGTTTCCCTAAACAATAGAATAATGGTGCTGCTGCACATCTTATGATCCCATTTCCCAGCACCACCTTGTCAACTTTAAGATTTAGGTAACTTCGTCTGCATTCATCTAAGTTACTTAGATATGAATATTTATATAAATATTTCTATGGAGATCCCTGACTCCAAAATTAATGTGTTTACAGATGCCATCCATGAAGTCACTTGGGTGGCTTAATACACTTAAGAAAGAAAAGCATTTGCTAAGAATTAAAGAATATAAGATACTTGGAACAAACTGAAACTGTACCTGGGTCCTCAGTCTGTGAGTTTTCCCACAATCCCAGGCTGGCAGCATCTTTCTCTGTCAGGAACTCTCTAAGGAAGACAAACGTCATCAAGAAACATGTCAGGTTTGGTGGGATCAAACAGAAGTGATTCAGCTTTCCAGCAGAATGGAACATACTACCATGAATTAATGACATGACAGAAATACAGACTATATTAGTCTTTGAACAGGATTTACCTTATGATGAAATATGATGTTAAGTCTCAGGCTTGAAACTTTTCAAAATAGAGAGGGAAAACAATGTCCGGCATCAATGAAACTCCTTGTGCTGTTCTGTCTGTGATAACTGTTAAGGCTTTTTCTTACACTACATGCAATTAATACTATGAGACTATAAATAGTATAATAATGAAGGAAGGAAAAAACAGAACATAACTTACTTGACCTGGTACGTGTCAGCAAAGCTCACTCTCCTAGATGGCCTTCTGGACTTCGGCTCTGGATCCCTTTTTTCAGAAATAAGCAAAGGTCAGCTGGGGTCATCACTTCAACATGATGTACACTTATAAGTTATACTGTATATTGGTAACAGAAAATATTCCTGTGACTCAGCAGCTTTACACTGATTTACAGTGGTGCCCTGAACATGCATGAATACCCAGAACACATCATGCAAATAAATAAAACAAAATGTACACTTTCAAGTGTCAAATCCAAATTTACCTTTTAAGAGGTGCACCTTGTCCATCCTGAAAAGGGATAAATATTTCAACATTATGTAGACAACAATATCATCATTATGGTTACAACATCATTAGCATTCTACACTTTTGTGAGTTACTTGTAAGAAAACATTCTATAAGTAGTTAGTTATGTCTATTTCATAAGGTATTATCAACTATTAATTATGATTACATAATACATAATTCTTTTGACAATTTTGCAGTACACTGAAAACAGTCTGGCTGTATTGAAATTTGAATTGATAATTAGCTGAGGTAACAATCATCAGTGTTCGAAATACCTGTCTGCAGTCTGCAATCTGCAGATAGATTTCAAAGATTGCAGAAGAAAAATTTATACAATCTGCAATTTTGCAGCAGGAAAAATTGGCACTTGGGATTTGGTGCTCTTGGCCCTAAGGACAGACAACACTTAAAGACCTGTTCTGAAACAACAGGAGCTTCTTCACTAATTTACATCAACCTTGTCTTGACTTGTCTATCTTTTGTTTCCTTTTGGACTTCACTAATTTGCATATCAATCAATAGTTCATGCTTATAAACCTGCAATATTGTAGTATAGAGGCTTGTGTATTTGCAGAAAGTATTTCCAAATTGCAGAACAAAATTTTGACTCTTCTGCAATAATGCAGAACACTGAAAAAAAGTATTTCGACCACTGATCATGGAATGTTCTGTTTTGAGAAAACTACAATTCTTTTTTATACAAATTATGTAATTGATTATTTACTATTCTAAACATGTAAATTGTAAAGTAAAGCATGATATATCAGCTTCAAGGCTGCCAGGTTTGACACATGCAAACAACCATTCTTCAATTCATTCATAGTCACAGACCTGAAGATTCAGGGGGTCTCTGCCATTGAGGTCCTGGAATACATTTCTGGATGGAGACCTTCCTCCTACTTTCAGAATCTGAAAAGTACAACATATATATAAATGTTAACGTTATTAATATTATACATGACATACTTGTATAATTTCTTGACAAGAATTTGGACTGAGTCACTCAGTTGGAGAACTTGATTTCTCTACTGAATTATTAAACTGGTACTAGTATGTAGTTTCTACTTATGTCTATCTGCACCAGTCATGTAGGGATTTATGTCTGTGTCCATAATATCACCAGGGTCCATAATATCGCCACCTTACTGCAATAATCGCAAGTCGCAATTATTGTCGCAATTCGCAATTATTTAATTATTGTCGCAAGTCGCAATTATTGCACCTTTGAGTACATCGACACAGAGGTCTTCTTACTACTCTACAAATCACTGATTCGACCACACCTTGAATACGGTGCACCTGTTTGGTCCCCACACCAATGGAAGCAGGCCGACCAAATAGAAAACGTACAAAGAAGGGCAAGTAAAAGGGTGCCTGGTCTAAACAATCTACCATATGAGGAGAGACTTAAGGTGCTTAGGCTCCCGACACTGGTATATAGAAGAATACGTGGGGACATGATCATGACCTACAAGTACATTCATGGGAAGCTGGACACAGAGGGTTGCCTACCAAAAATGCAAGAGAAAACAAGAACAAGAGGGAACAGCTTACGACTTAACAAAAGATCAGTGAAGAACAACAAAAGACTGTTTTTCTACAGCAACAGGGTAGTAACATGGTGGAACAGTCTACCGGAAGAGGTGGTGTCAGCCCCAAGTGTGAACAGTTTTAAAAATAGACTGGACAAACACATGAGAAGTCATCCAGTGGTGTACAACCCCCGGGCATTGGACAACCCCCACAAGATGACCATGTCTACGCAGTAAACTACAAGGAGCGGCTCAAAGTGGAAGAGAACTTCCTACCGAGACGAAAGATCTACTCTACTCTAATAATCAGCAACATACTTTTGGTATGAACTCCTGCACACCTCAAATGTACATATACTAGTAACTAGGGTATGTTGCAATAGAAATATCTTTAAGCACACTATTTCTCAAGGTGGTGATATTATGGACCCTGGTGATATAATTTACTTGTATGGACACAGATGGTTACATGTTACCACATATAATACACATAATTATGCGTATGTAAATTTATGTGTACAAAATAAACGACAGATGTGTATAATTTACATGCATACAAACTGAAACACTTCTTACCGAGGATGACCTCCTCTTCTTTCTTGTTGCTGCCTGCATGATTTTATTTCCTACGATGAAAACATGCAAGTAAGGTTACTAAGTAAGAACATATCGATTTTGGTCGAAAAAATTTCTCCACAAACAAGACAGTTTTCATATGCATAAGCCAGCCTGTTCCGCTGTTAGTTTATTTCATTTACCCCGTAAGTGCAATTCCCTATAGAAAAGGCACGAATTGTAAAACTGGATTGATTTTTGTATGTGGGAGTTGAAAACGAAAATTTTATCTGAGGCTCAGAGAGTCAGAAACACGACTGTGACAAATTTATTTTCGTTTGAATATCCAAAGAATTCTAACGGTACCATCAATATGAATGGCACAAAAGCATAATTCCAAGGATAGGATTGATGCTCTACTATCCACCTGCATAATATGACTTACATAAAGCCAGGAATGACGGAAAAGCCTCGATAAATACATACCAGACAACGGATCGTATTCAAAATGTCCGCTCTCCTTCTTCAAAACTGCGGTGCACGTTGGGATATGCACAATTTCGGCCAATCAGAGAAATGTACATGCATGACGTCAGAGGTCATACAGTTTTTGGCAACACCTCAAAACCTTGCCTCAATTCAAATACTCTCGTCTCAGTAAAACTGACACAAACTGTGATGATCGGTCGTGATTATATTGTTCCGACAACATTAAGTTATGATCTGTAGCAACATGATTTTGCATTCGAAATGGAAAATGTTTGCATTCGTGCCGGGCATAACGCGCGTAATGGGTGAGGGTTTATAGAGTTATAAAACGTCAAGTTTTCTTTGTACGAAAGTGAACTGATACAATGTACTCTGTATTCGTGTACTTTCGTCGTTTTTATAAAGTAGTACAGCTGTATAATGTCCCAACAGATATGCTAGGATCCGACTCACTCACAACGTCTCTAAAGTACTAGTAATCTTTTCAAATTTTTGCCTTCTACATCTGCCAGCGTTGCACAGAGGGAAGATGGAAACCTTCATTACCAGAGAGAGAAAGACTCGGAGAGGAGAGAGAGGGTGGGTGATCGAGAGAAACCCACAAAACAAAGCGTGACCGGTACATCTGGGGATTGACAGCTGCCCAATTTCTCAATACAATAATCCCCAGTGGATATTGCGAGAGTTGCGCACGCACTGATTGATGAACTGGGATGACACTCCAGGCAAAGACGACGCTTTTAGCGTCAGTCACAACGTTGAGGCGCGTTCACTATTATTCGTAGGATTTTCCTGAGCCGTCAAGTCGGTGCTCTGACCGTGAGGCCAAGTCTGTGGACAAGGATCCGATATCTTCCATCACAAGAAAGCTGAATTTCACTCGGGTACGCTACACTCAGGACTTCACCAAGAATGCCCAAAGTACTGCTGTCGTAAATATAACCAACGACGAGTGTGACCGTGAACGTGATTGACAAAACGCGTCTTCCTTCAGCGAGGGAATCATTCTAGGGAGAGAACAAGTACAACGGGTTTCAAAAGAATCCATTAATGGATCATCGGACCTGTAGCTAGACAGGGTGGACCTTTCAACCTTAGCCGTTTAGTAACCCTGCAGTTGCCTCACTATTAACCCCCACTATTAAGAATTATTAATGAGTTGGGCCCAAAGGCCGTGTCGGCGACCGTGTCACTGTTTGTTGTAGTTCGAAGGGACTTCCGTGTGTTGGTGCTGAGCCGTGACGCGGGAACACGGCGTAATCATAATGGCTGGCCTGGTCCTAAAAATGCGCGGTCTCCCGGGGTTACCAGCGGCCGCCCGGAGAACGCTGTTCTTGAGCCTGAGACGATCCAGGACTGCGTCTTGGCGGAGCCGCCAGGTGTCTACAACGTGCGCCAGGAGAGGCAACGAGTCAGACGGCACACAGGTGACACCGGGCCATAAAAATGCCTACATCGTCGATGGCACTGTTTTTGCAAGGTCAGACCTTTCTGTTATTATTTAGTATTCAACAGCGTCGATTGCAATAAAATCTGTCATAGCAGAAGTAATTTTGACAGATATGGTAATACCTCTGGATGCAGGTGTTTCTACGTTTCAGACGTAAGACTCTGTGTTTGTTGATATTACCTGCACACCTTTACGACCGCCTGCGGCAAGCCGGTTTGTCGAACCAGATCCAACCAGTTTTCACCTGGCCAGTCCTGTTTTTGCTGCGTCTATTGTTGTGGACACCTGAACACCTAAGACCGAATAATCAGGACCGATTATCTCAATAGAACAGCCGTTTGTAGCCATCTCCTGTGTTGTGGATGCCACACAGAGACGTGTGTGTGTTGTGGTCCGTCGTCCTCAGTGTTGTTGTTGACCTTGGCGTGTGGGGGGCGTGTCTCGTCTGTTACATTTTTCTCAGATTTTTCAGTGGAACACTTTTTGTGCAAATGTATTGTTACCTTAAACTACCAAACAATATCCAACAACTTCATTTCGTAACGGCACAAAAAGTACAAATTTTTTTTTTTAATAACCACTTAGGGTTCCGTGGGAGACATGGGAACTCCTAAATGTTGAAACGACAGATCTGTTATTTTTATCTGAATCAAAATTAGCATTTCTTTATATTATTGTATCGTAATTCCATGTATGAATGAATGTCCAGACCTGAGCTGACGCCTTCTGGGAAGTCAAGTTTGAGGTGGGGTGGGGGGTAGGGCAATGTTTGGTTTAGACGGCTCTTATGTAAAGAAACAATATAATGCTTGTCAACGTACAAAGTTCACTTTCCCTTGTCACAGTCACAGGTACCAGTAGTGCATGGCATTGTAAACAAGTTCTCCACTGTCGACGGACGGTCTTTCCCAGAGACATGGTGCACGCGCTCTAGGCTCCAGCTGTTTTCTTACGCAATCTCACTTTTTGTCCCGGCGTCAAAGAAAACAGAGAGCCAAATGAGGAGAAGAAAGTGTGAAAGGACGATGTGAAAGAAGGAAAACATGCATTCCGACGGGCCAAGAGCAGGTTCAACAGACAAACTACTAATAATAACCTCCAAGGAGACGCGTGACCTATAACAGCTCCTTTTTCAACACCATTTTACTCGTTATGCTATGTATGCCGTAAGTCTTCAAAGTGAAAAGTTGGTCGGCGGTGATCTCCAAGCAGATGTAGGGAAGGAAGAGTATGGTGTTTTCCTGGCTGCCCCGTTTGCTGATCATCATGACCGGCATACGACATCCGTCAGGATCATGATTGTCGTGCCCTGGACAGCATAACAGTACTAGTGTGGGTCCTTGCAGGGGAAAATCGCAATACACGGTGCCATTTAATAGTACCATGTATTGCCGTGCCTGGCCGGCAACGTGGAGTCCTTTATTCATATTATTGCATGCCCTTTCTTGTAGATGGCGGCATTATATACTGTTTTCTTATATACGCTGTTCACCCGTGTAAGAGAACAACAGTGACAACAGAATTGGGAATTGGAAGAAGTCTAAGACAGTGCGGAGAAATCAAATACTGCATGTAACGTTACATCGATCTGTGACATGTGGGTAGTGGATGCCTACAAAATATGACAGAAAACGGATGTGTAAACAACACAGATGTGTGCACCTCTAGTGACCTTGCCTTCTCAATCCTTCACTTGGTGACGGTGACAGTATTCTAACAGTCCTACCACAAGCTGGCCTGGCCCCTAGAAGAGAGAGGGGAAGAGGCGCAATCAGCCCACTGACTCCAGCGAGAGACGAGACTGTGAAACCAAGGAGGTTTAAAAGATTAAACTGCACACGTTTCTGTCGGGGTTTAAATAATTAAACCTCCTTGGTGAAACACACTGCCAACCATTTTGCGATAACATCTGCAAAGAACACAGGAGTCTGTCCTTATACCAACATACTGGGGATCGTGGTATTCAGTTACCACAAATTGGACTATTTCACGGTGAATTCCACCCGATTATCTGTTTTTGGTCTCCATTTAGCGCGTCTTTTTCAATGATTTTGTACGTCTTTTTGGCGTCACAAAACTGCATTGAGCATAAGACGTGCAAAATGGAGTCAGAGCCTTATACTTGCTTTGAGACCGAAGATTGTATCAATTGAAATTTTTACCACGGATTTTGGTGCGATATGAGAATGTCACCACGTGGGCTTAGCAGACGACCCCGAGAATTCACCAATCAAGACAGTCGATCGCAGCATCACAGACATTGGTGGACCAATGGCAGGTCGCGGTGACTTCTTGGCGCGAAACGCTTTGAAATTCGCGCCAAGAAGTTTTCGGCGGGTACTCCAAGGACAACAAAGAATTTGGGAAACATCCGTTGCCGATGATCTGCAATAAATCTACTGAGAAGGATCAGCATTGTGAAAGAAAAAAACTTCAATGTTGAGGCCGGCTTTGGTTACTTCATTTGTAACTTTTGGAAACCTACGGCGGAGTTTTCCTGTGGCCCCACGAGCCTTTGCGAGCACACACAGTGCAAAGGACAGACGTGCTGAAGTCCAAGACCCTGGGCGGCGTTCCATAAACCACCTGAGCCACAGGACAGCCACCACCGTTCATACCTCCGAGAAACTCTGGACAGACGACATGCCAGCACAGGTCATCAGCGGCAAGGAGATCGCGGCGTAAGACCGACTTTTGTCGTCGAATTTTGTCGAGGTTTTCAGCAGTAGCGCGCTGCATGCAGGGTGGGGAGGGGGGCAAGTCACATGCTTACCTCGATTGGGGCGTAAACTAGAGTCTCTTACGAGTTACGTTGTGCAGTTTCCGATGATTGTGTCACTTGGCTGTGTCCCAAGGTAGTCGTGTATTTCATGATTTATCCTACACGATAGCCATAAGTAAGGGATGTTACATTAGATAAGTTGACCGGGTAGCCCCGTTCTTGGTGTTGTACTGTCGCCATCAGTGCGATCAGTGGCCAGTGTTGTAGTTTTACGATGCAGCAAACGTTGATGGAATGTTTAGGGGCATTCGTGCCAAGCTGCGGGAGGAGGTGCAGAAGATGCAGGAAGTGGTGCCGGGCTACAGGCCAGGACTGGCGGTGGTGCAGGTGAGGTGCACAGAGTCTACAGACTTCATTAATTTAATGCATGTTTGCGTTTGCTTATATAAGTAATGGTTATATTCCACACGGTCACATACATAATAACTTAAGGCTAGTTTGCGTCCGTAAGGCTGAAGTGCTCAACACATACAGTTGATTTGATTGTAACATGGGAAGTTATTTTCTCTGAATCTGACCATGGAGGTACCTCCATGATCTGACAGCAAAAGATATTTGCACCTGCTATTTTATTGACACACGCTTTGTGGCTTAGTTTGTATCTGTCATTCATTGTATCTGCTCAGCATTACACAATCTCTGGCTGCCAGGTGTTTATTGGTCCCCTCCTGAGTGCTAGGAGTGCAATTTAGTCAGACTATTATTGTATTAATCTTTAATATTTAACAAGTAGTCATGGGCAACAATTCTCCGTGAAGTTTTAATATTTTGCATGTCAATGGTACCTGCTAGACCTGACATTGACGGCGCCAGCCTCCCGGTGGTTCAATGAACATACAGATGGGTGCACCCATCAGCTGGGTGAAAACATTTCAATGACATTATAGGGTTGTTTCTGAAATATGCATTTACTTCAACATTTTATGAAAACTACTACAATTAAAAGGAAAAAAAACATGCATCATCACAGACATAATGTCTTACCACATGCGCAATTACATAGAAATACAACGGAGAGAACCATGGCTTTCAGCTGCAACATATGCATCATCACAGACATAATGTCTTACCACATGCGCAATTACATAGAAATACAACGGAGAGAACCATGGCTTTCAGCTGCAACATATTTGCAAAAACAGCCCCCCACCTTACACCAGGCGACAAATAGCTGTTTTAATGACCCACCTTCGTATCTGCCTGAAGGAATCCCCCCCCCCCATTCAAAAGGTCTTTTTGACAGCCAGTCCCAAAGCCTCTATAAATGTAGGGGTACTTCGGAAATACATGTATTACATTGACCACGAAAACAGCTACGGTTAAAATAAAAATGCCTTCATCTTGCATCATCACGGGCATGCCTGCAGATGATGAATAAAATTATATGCCGATTAAACAGATGCCTTCACAGAGTAACAAGTTGTCCTCTTAGAAAAATAAAATTTAAAAAATATTAATGATAAGCTACAAATGTACTAGTAGGTTACTTAGTGGCGTAGCGTGCTTAGTACCAGGTTTAGTCCATTATTGTGTGTCAAACACTGTTCCAGGTGGGAAACGATGAGGCATCCAATGTGTACATCAGGATGAAGATGAAGGCTGCTGAGGAGGTAATGTTCACTGTTAAGTTTCACTCACCTGCCTGGTTTCCATGGCAACCAGGACGTTTTGAGGTCTAAAGGACATGATCATAGAATCTACGTATATTATTCTATTCTACACAGGACTGTAAGAACTTTTTTTGTTTTTTGATTTGTAATCTGGCAGCATTTGGGATATGTCAGTGATCATTTCTAATGCTTAATAAGTTGAAAATAGTCATATTTATTTCTTTCCCCAATATCCAGGCGGGCATGAATGGGAGGCATATCAAGATGCCACAGGACACGACCCAGAATGAGGTATGTGCTTTACACTTACAGTTAAAGGGAGGTAAATATAACTAGGTAACAAATAACTAGGTACTGCCGGGTGCAGTACTGGGGCAAGAACAGTGATGTCGCTCACCAGTCAGTGTCTGTCAACAATATCTTTTTGATGATATAGATCTAGATCTAACCAGTAATGTATATTTCCTCTGTACCAGTTGGTAACCCAGATTAACCAGTTGAATGCAGACCCGGGGGTTCACGGCATGATCATACAGCTGCCGCTGGACACAACACAGCCAATCGACTCCCATCTCGTACTCAACACCATCGACCCGGCCAAGGACGTGGATGGGTAAGACTTCTTACTGCCAAGAAACTTCACCCTCTCCCTGCTGCCTAATCTGTAATCTATAGGTACACTGACAACTAGCATGCCTAACCTGTCGGCATGCCAACTTGTGACAATATCTTGTTTCCAAAATGAAGGTAATTTGGAAACCCCATATCTTGACTAAGACCATAGATTCCATAATACTGTTACATATGCTTTTTCAATTGACATATAAAAGCTTAGCAGTAAGCATCTTGATAACTGTTTGGTGTTATAACCTACCTGTATTAACTCCTGTGTCCCTCCAGTCTCCATGATGTAAACTCGGCAAAGCTTGCCCGGGGAAACCTGTCCGACTGTTTTGTCCCCTGCACGCCAAGGGGTTGTCTGGAACTCATCAAGTCTGCGGGAACCGATGTGGACGGGAAAAATGCAGTGGTCGTTGGACGGAGTAAGATTGTTGGTGCACCAATGTCGGAGTTACTGACATGGAATCATGCTACAGGTTAGGAAACCAAGTGATTGTAGTGAAGGATACATACCTGGTAGCACAATGGAACAGTAACGAGTGAGCTCAGGGGAGTGAGTGAGCATATTTTTTTGGCATTTAGCAGAAGCTCTTAGCCTATACATGTATCATACATGTATTAATGACTTTCAAATCCTGGCAGTTGTGCTTTACCTGACTTGCATGTTACTGGTAGTCCATCCCTGGAATGTTAGACCTGTATATACTGTACATAGTGACTTTCTTGTGAAGACCAGTGAAAGATTAGCATGTTGGTCAATTGAAAGCATGACGATTTATTTTTTTTCATCTTAATGTTTGATTCTTGGTGTCCATTCACATTCAACAAGAACATGGAGCCAAGCACTTGTTATCTTGCTGGATGGTTCACTACTGATTTTTCTATCCCCCCTCAGTGACAGTGTGCCACTCCCACACTAAGGACCTGGACCAGGTGTGTCGTCAAGCAGACATCCTGGTGGTGGCGATCGGCAGGGCGCAGATGGTCAAGGGCAGCTGGATCAAACCAGGAGCTGTGGTCATCGACTGTGGGATCAACTCCATACCAGGTAGATATGGCCAAGTTCCCTTCTTGATAGTTCAATTTCTTGGAGGGGCTGCTTTGCACTAAATTTACAAGTTCATCATTTAATATGTTAAAAGTACATGTGTACTTGTATACATTGATGGAGGTATCAACCAAGTAAAATGCTACTTACTTTTTAGGAATGATAGAATCAATGTACTATTGGTACTGGTATAAAGCTGTTGTAGGCTTCTTTTTGGCAAATAACTTCGCGAAGAAGCAGTGATGTACCTTATTTAAGAAGATGCAGGCTTTAACATGCTCCTCCTTTCCAGATGCCACCAAGAAGAGTGGGAAGAGGCTGGTTGGTGATGTTGATTATGCTGAAGCTTTGGAAGTGGCCTCTGCTGTGACCCCCGTCCCGGGCGGGGTTGGACCCATGACGGTGGCCATGCTCATGCAGAACACAGTAGAGAACGCACAGAAGGCCCTGCAGAAGTATAGGGTGGGTGGTGCAGTCTTCTATTTCAGGCATGAAACACAGCTGATTACATCACACACTGTACAATATTAAGATACAAATGATAAAGGTTTGTATGAGTACACAGAAGAATGTACATAATGTATAAGAAGAAACATACTTATGCAGATACAGAATTTTTATCAATAAATCTGGTTGACGTAATGGCCCCAGACACATTACAGTTTTCTCCTTATTGCAGGCAAGTGTGTGGAACATCAGCTACCTCCCCCTGCGACTCAAGACTCCTGTCCCGAGGTAGGTACTGCGGGAAGCAGTGAATTACATTTAGACTCGCCGAGAGTACAAACCAAGCCACCATATTATAAGCACATTTTAACTCCACTTGTAATCAGTATAGTAGGGTTTACATACTTGTAACTCACAGTTTGAAGGAAGCTGCATTGTGCTGGTATCAATCCAATCTATCAATGCTAAGAATCCTTTACAGATTAACTGGTTCAGCTCTTTCTCTAATCTTAATGACTTGTTCTTGTGTATGGTCCTTGCCTTCAAGAAATGAAAGATTTGCCCATGACTGTTAGAAGCTAGCTTTGTATCAATTCTCCGTTTCTCCCTCCCAGTGATATAGAAGTCGCCACAGCTCAGACTCCCAAGAACGTGGATGACCTGGCGCGGGAGATCGGGCTGCAGCCCCACGAGGTCGACCTGTACGGCAAGAAGAAGGCGAAAGTGTCGCTCTCCGTCCTGGACAGGCTCAAGGATGTTCCAAATGGCAAATACGTCGTGGTTACAGGGTAGGTGACTTTTCTTCTTTTTTTTTTTTATCTACTTAACATTCTAGTCATTTCCATGTAAGCACATTTGATAACATGATGATTCTGTTGTTGATATTTCAAGCCTTGATGTCTAACAGACAGTGTGTGAATTGTTGTAAAACTAAGTACAGAACTTAACATAGAGCAAGCTTCACAAATTACTTTTTTTGTTGTTATCAGGATCACGCCCACCCCCCTGGGTGAGGGAAAGAGCACCACGACTATAGGCTTGACACAGGCTCTTGGGGCTCACCTGAAGAAGAATGTGTTTGCATGCGTCAGGCAGCCTTCTCAGGGCCCAACCTTTGGCATTAAAGGTAATAGAGCAGCTGAATTATATTCCCACGTTCTGCAGCTATAAGATTACCTCATGATGTTGTGGACTATTGCTGTATTTTCCCTCCTAAAGTACTTTTTACACTTTTAAATCTGACCCAAGCAATGTTTGAGTCCGGATGTGTAAAGGAGCCGGTATGCAAGAAAAATCAGCTGTTGATTACAGTTCAGAAACCAGTGCCAAACAGACGAGCAGAGGATAGATTTTTTAAAACTCCTTTTGATCCCTTTTTGGTGATGTATGGGGGAAAATACAGTACCACAGGAATCATAGGGTCGATCATTTGGTTGCTTGATGCATTTTTATGAACTGACTGCAATGTACAGTCAAACCAGTACAAGGGAACACCTCCACATAAGGGCCACCTGGCCAACATTATGACTTTTTGGTGATCCCTTAAATAATTCCCGCATTGACACAAGCTTTAGACCAAATTTATTAGTCCCCTGAGTGGTCCTCTTGGGCAGGTTTGACTGTAGGTAACACATGTAAATGAAACATTATGCTGAAGTTTTTCCTTTGCAGGGCTTACCAAAACCTTATGCGCTGTCAAGAGTTTCACCTTTTCTAATCACCTTCCATGACTAATTTTTGCCATGTGGTTTTCCCCATGGATTTTTTAGCAATTGGACTAGGATTTAGGATTTAAGACCTAGGACTTGGATTGCTGTAGTGTTTTAAACCTGGCTATGGAACGATTCTTTGGTCTTGGGTTTCGCTTTCCATATGTTTTAGAAAACACAAAAAAAATCACAACAAGGATCATATACTGGCCAAGGAAAGATGTTTATCATTCTACGTTAGAAGTACTTGAAAGTAGAAGACCTAATGTAATATTCAGAAACTAAATATTAGCGAGAACCAATTACATGAATAGTAAGGAGTAAGCAAAATTTTTTTTTTAATTTGTAAAAGTAATTAGCACACTCATGACGTTATATGGAGTTAGTTTCCTTGAAGAACAACAAAAAGTGTATAAGAAATAAGTGAGGTTGATGAGGCTGCTGATATTTTTATAGGGACTGGTCGAGACAGTCACCATGGAGACGGTGACCATGGTGATGAGCCACACCCACTAGATCGGTCAGGAGGTGAGCCTGTTGGTACAACCCAGGAGGGCCACACGTCACTGCCATTAACGTTTATTGCTCGTGTTGTTGATCCGCTTTGGGGTTCAGATTATCTTTTAACCCTCTCCCTGCTGTGGTTGTTTTCTTTTGGTGTTTGTTATGGGGTTAGGCAGCAGGGAGAAGGTAAAACACTGGTCACTTTGAAGATGGACATTTGTAATCTGTCAAGTACGTCTCTGTCATAACAATCTTGTAACAGAAGTAAAGAAAACACACAATAAACAGAAGCAGTTTTTTTATCAAATGACGTCCCATTAAATGTAGGGCTTCCAGTTTGGTCTCTTGAAATTTTGAAGATGTTTAAAGTGACCAGTGAATAAAGGTTGACGTATGTCTGGAGGCAGCCTAAGATTTCAGATTTATGGTTGTTACGGTAGCTGTTACAGACAACTGTTGGTATTTATGTGCAGGTGACAGGTGAATATAGGACTACCTTTAGATACTGTGAACGTTGTGTTCAGGTATGTGACAATTGTCAATTGATTCATCAGGTGACTTGTACATGTAGCTGATAGAAGCACCCATTCTCTTTGCGCGCATCGCTTCTTAAGGTTACCCTTTTGGGAGTCTTTCTTGCTTGTCTTGGCAGAGCAAACCAGGATGCCAAGAGAGGGGACACCAAGAACAAGAGAGCAAAAAGCCCTAGCCTTATGGTGCTTGTGCAGCCTGGGAAAAGTCAAGAATGGGAGAGCCTACTGACTGTAGATGAAATGATGAAATCTTGGAACAGGAGAACAAAATGTCAGAGACAGAAAATGGAGAACAGGAGAGCAGAATGCACCTGTTTCTCAGGCCTACATCTATGTATGGCCAAGAATTCTGAGACAGGCAAACTGCCACTCAGTCTAACACCAGGGTTGACCTGGTTGTCTGTCCTGGCACCTTGCAGTGGTGGAACATCTCCACCTTACCCCTCCTCCAGGAGCAGCTGTCACAGCTGTTTCCATGCTGCCAGCCTTGGAAAGGGCTGTGCACAAACCTGGGTTATTCCCAGTGTTTTACACACCTTGCTGGTATGGCCAGTTTCGGTACAAAGGAGGAATGCAAGTGTTGCCAGGAGTGGATGCTGTCCTATAGCTTCTTGCAAGTTGCTGCAGTCTGAAGCCTCTATACTCCCTGAGCTTTGGAGATGTACACGTGCCCACTGCCCAGTGCTCAAGCCTTCTATTGGAATTTCCAGGGATACATTTTGTAATAGTCTTGAACACACGGAAACATGTGCTTGCTTGGATTTTCAATATGCTGTTGGATTTTTTGGTCACCTGATGGATGTAGCTAATGACTGACTGTGTTCAATTTAATTTCAGAACAAGAACTCAGGTAAGTTTAACAGCATAGGGATGATTGGCAGACAATTGTAGCAATACTAGGACCTGACGTTGGTTTGGTAACAGGACTTTCAACACTGGTTGCTTCAGATATGGAATGACACTAGGAATTTGGGGCATCTTCTAATCGACTTCAAAAGCTAATACATAATTTCCAATTCTAAAAGGCATCAAACAACAGAGAGACAGGTTCATTCAGTTGAACATTAACTTTACATTGGCCAACAAGATGAAACGTAACAGTAAGACTTGAAGTTGATGAGTAGGTTGTCCTGATTTTCAGTGTCTCTCCATATCTTTAGCGACCAGTGAGAACTTTGCCTGACTTTCTCTTCTGTTCTGCTAGGTGGAGCTGCGGGTGGTGGTTACTCCCAGGTCATCCCCATGGATGAGGTAATATTATATAATCTTAAGCCATTACTTAAGAAATGATGATGATGATGATGACGATGACTTCAGTAATATGTTGGCTTGACTACTCTAACTGGTATTGATTGTTTTGTTGACACCAGTCCTGGTGTGGATACTGATGACTTGCTTAGCACTTGTGTAACTGTCCTGTTGTCATAATAACATTCTTGCACCAAAATCATCCAGTTTTCATTTACGTTGCCAGTTCAGCTGAACATACATTTGTACATGCTACCAACCAGTGTTTTGTGCTGAAACAGTCATGTATCCATACTGAAATCATCTTCTTCTTGTCCTGCCTTCATGTTTCCCTAGTTTAACCTGCACCTGACAGGTGACATCCATGCCATCACAGCAGCAAATAACCTTCTGGCAGCTGCCATCGATGCCAGGATATTCCATGAGTCCACACAGACTGACAAGGTAGTACCTTTGAGGTTCTAGGGGAATAATAATTTGGTGGTAGGAGTGGAAAGTAGGCATTTGCAGTAATTGTTGAAACGACTGTAATAATGTGATACAAGAATAGATCAAGATCATGCATTCACCATGTGATGATTTCACGGTGAAAACCATGAACTGATATTACAGAATGCTGTTCTTTGAGACCCTTGCAAGGGTAGTTTTAGTATGTTGTTTTAGAGGGTTTGAAGTCTCTGATGCCTTGTTTCCGTTTGTAGGCCCTGTATGGACGGCTGGTCCCCACCAAAGACGGTGAGAGGAAGTTCTCCCCGATCCAGATGAAGCGTCTGGAGAAGCTGGGCATCACCAAGACCAACCCAGATGACCTGACCGAGGAGGAGGTCGCAGACTTCGCCCGGCTGGACATCGACAAGTCCACCATCACCTGGCAGCGAGGTCAGCTTGTTCGGGCCCCAGAAAAATTGTTCTTATGGATCTTAGATGAGAAAAGAAAAAAATAGATTTAGCATTTATTGTGCCATTTTTACAAATGCATTTTTTGACAACCTTACACACTGAATTTGAAAGTTATTTTCAACATTGCATTATAACCCACAGGAGCAAGTATTGCTCATCTGCCGAAAGTTCTGTCCATTTTTCTAAAATCTATATGAAGGCAGAGGATAGGTGCAATCACTAGCTATTATCCACCTTGAGAATTTGATAATCTTCTAATGTCTACCACAATGCTACTTTGACCTTCAGTGATAGACACTAACGACCGGTACCTCAGGAAAATCACCGTCGGACAGTCTCCCACTGAGAAGGGCATCACCAGGGAGGTGTGTGGGCATTTTAACATCTGAACACTTCTACTTGTTTGCTGAATGTTCATTATAGTTTCACAAGTAATCATAGAGTCAGAGTATATTTCCTGCATAAAAAGATATTTTAATTTCTGTTACAACATATAGCATTTATATGGTTATAGATATATACATTTGAAATGTAATTTAACATCTACCAACATAATATATATATAATACTAACAATATCTGCCACCCTGAAAAATGCATGCAACTAAAGAGAGCCAGAATGATTCTGGATATCTAAAATGTGCATATCTGGGGGCTGCTGCATGAGTGATCTCTCAAAAACACAGGTTCACAATAATGAGAGTGTTTTGATATGTTTCAGACAAATTTTGACATCACGGTGGCAAGTGAGATCATGGCGGTTCTAGCCCTGACGACCAGCCTGGCCGACATGCGGGACCGACTGGGCCGTATGGTGGTGGCCAGCGACACGAAGGGCCGCCCAGTCACCGCTGATGACCTTGTAAGTTCCATATCCGTCATTAGTGTCATTATCATATTGCATAACTGGTAAACTTGCCTCATGGTCTAACATATCAGCTCTGTACTCGGAGTTGATGAGTAAAGGCTGTGCCACTGCCCTTATGATTGCTCTACGTTATGTCTTGTTTGTTTTGTGAATAAGTCAGATTTTTTACATGGTACATGTATGTGATGAAAGGGGAGAGTCCTGACACCTTGTTATAATTGCTTGATGTTCCCAGGGGCTTGGAGGAGCCCTGACTGTCCTGATGAAGGATGCCATCCGACCCAACCTCATGCAGAATTTGGAGGTACACTCTGATACACTGAAATAGTCTAAACTAGTAGATGCTGATTTCAGCCCATAAATACAGTTTTTTTATCCGTGTTCTCTTATTTATTTCTCTTTGTGATTGCCATGCCTCCAGGGTACACCTGTGTTTGTGCACGCTGGCCCGTTTGCCAACATCGCCCACGGCAACTCCTCCGTCCTCGCAGACAAGATCGCCCTCAAGCTGGTTGGACCCAACGGATTTGTAGGTTAGTCACATCATGAGAATCATGAGAAGACATGATTTATTTGATGAAAATATCGAAAGGGAATTTCTTTCCCTTTTCTTTTTGTTTGCTGTCACCACATTCATCCCCTCACTCACTCATTGGGCAGGGTTTAGCAGACTCCTTTATTCATTATTGCCATGTTCCTCCCACAGTGACAGAGGCTGGTTTCGGAGCAGACATCGGGATGGAGAAGTTCTTTGACATCAAGTGCCGCTACTCCGGCCTGGTCCCGCACGTGGTCGTCCTGGTCGCCACCATCCGAGCACTGAAGATGCATGGGGGCGGGCCAAAGGTCACGGCAGGGACACCGCTACCCAGGGAGTACAAGGAGGAGGTGAGATTTTCTGGTCTTTATTCTTACATTCATTTCTGCTGTTAAGACACAGCCATACCTGTCCAACTAGTCAGTAGCTACTGAAAACTGCTAACCTTTGTGATAAAGCACAGAAGTTCTGCCTGATAACAGTAGTGAGTACAAAGTATGGTTAACTATTTTTTAGACAAATAGCCATATTGACAATGTGTTCTTCTGTGTGTGCCACTTTTGTATTTGACCCTGACCTGTTTTGACATGTAGAACATTGGCCTGGTGGAGGCCGGCTGCAGTAACCTGAAGAAACAGATTGAGAACGCTCTGCACTTCGGCATTCCTGTGGTTGTGGCAATCAATGGATTTGCGTGAGTTTTTTCTTCATTGTTACTTCTGAAGAGTAGATCTAGTTTTCAAGAGTTTTTCTCTGCTGCATGAGAAATGTTGGTCAGAAATTTCTGGGTAAAATTGAAGTCTTTATTCTGCCAATGTATAGTTACAGTTTGTTGATGTTGTACTTTGTACTGTTGTTGTATGTTAGCTTTTAGACTGACAACTTAATATCTGGACTTGCATTGTCCTGCTTTATCTTATAGATAAATGATGTAAACAATTGTTAACCTCCAGGACCGACACTGAAGCAGAGATGCAGGCCGTTATTCAGAAGGCACGAGAGTTTGGAGCCTTCGACGCCATTATCTGCTCCCACTGGGCCAACGGTGGGGCGGGCGCCGCGGACCTGGCCCAGGCCGTGGAGAGAGCCAGTCAGCAGCCCAGTAACTTCCAGTTCCTGTACGACGTCAAGGTGAGGGTCAAGGTCGTGGGTACTGTTGAAGAGCAATAGACCGACTACTACTAGCCATTAGGAACAGCATTACAACCAAAAGTGCTGGTACATCGGCCAAATTTTCATTTCTATGGTTTACTTTTAATTGATAGGTCTGAATTGGCTTCATATTTACTGTATCTTCCATCCTCTGCAGCTGCCTTTGGAAGAGAAGATAGAAACCATTGCCAAGAAAATCTATGGTGCTGACGGGATTGAACTGTCAGAACAGGCACAGGGAGCGATTAATCGCTACAAGAGCCAGGTATGAGTATGAATCATAATAAGCATGAATCATAACTTAAAGTGTTTACAATGTTATGCAACAGGACAAGGTCAATTTGTTGTAAAAAGTTGTTTTGATCAGTCAACAATGTTTCTTAGAGGGGGCTGCTAAAGTATTCTTGTATCATCAGCCCTCCCAGTAATTTGTAACATTACCTTAGACCTGTGTAAAACGCTGTGTCAAACAAACATGTTGTTATTCCTGTCCAGGGATTCAATGACCTTCCCATCTGCATGGCAAAGACCCATCTGTCGCTGTCCCATGATGCCGAGCGGAAGGGAGCGCCATCCGGCTTCACCCTGCCCATCCGAGACGTGCGGGCCAGCGTGGGTGCCGGATTCATCTACCCGCTTGTTGGGACAGTGAGTTCTGTCATTTCTAACATTTATTGTTTGTTTGCTAAAAGGGTAAGTGAATAAGATAGGGATTTTCATGATTTAAAAAACAATGACATTCTATTTTTGCAAGCCAAAAGAGAGCATCACTAAGAAACCATTCCTTTATTTTGCTTTCAATAATGCCTCATTGTTGAAATTTCAGTATCACATTAGGAAACAGTGTATCACCATCTAAGTATATCATGGTATTCACAGCTGTATTCAAGTACATATATGTAACACAAGTATTGAGTTGATTATAAATTTTTTCTCTTTGATCCTACCCCAAAGCTGTCTGTCCTAGAGTATTCCTTTGAACTCTTTATGTACCAGTAACATCTTAACATCAGTTTTACACCAAACAGCTTCTATATATACATGACTTACTTCACCTCTCAGCAATGCCCCTGCTGTTTTACAGATGAGCACCATGCCAGGACTACCCACAAGGCCATGCTTCTATGACATTGACCTTGACCCTGACACAGAGGAGGTCAAGGGGCTGTTCTAGTTAAACCTAGATGTGTCTGGACCAATCTGATCAGTTCTGCTAGCTACATGTAATATAGTTCTAGCTTGCAGTACATTATGATATTTTATGGTTGACCTTTCTAGCTAGTATACAGTAGATAGGCGTGCTTGTAATTGTGTAAAACAGTCAAGCTGATATTTGGTCTTGACTGTATCTGTCAAAGTGGTATATTTTGTGGGCAAAAAAAATCAAGATTTCTTATTGTGTTTGCTCAGGATATAATATGCTTACGTTATCAATGTAATGCAAAGAGATTCAAGCTAAAAGCACAGAATCCAATACTATCAGTTGCAATTATGTTACATCCAGGGATCAAACGATTCGGCCATGTGCAGATGTTTAAGTATAAAATTTTGAATTCTGTGTATCCTAACAATAAGCCAAGAAGCTACAGTTGTGAGTACTTTAGTATACAGATGAGTTGAGATGTAGCAAGTTTCGGGGTAGGGTTGTGTTGACTAGACATGATGACAGCTATCAATCAGAGTAGCGTTAACTGCCTGATCACCTTGTGATTATGAAGAAGGTTTGAAAGGTTTTGAATGAAAACATCACAGAAGTAGGATAAGCAATGTTATGGTTTCTGTAGTTTATTGTTTGTAACTAGTGATAGATTTGAATGCTTTTTGATCATGACATGGAATTTTAAGGAATGAGGAAAAGTGTCAGCAGAAGTTGATAGGAAAAAAACTTGCATAAAATACTGAATATGTGGACCAAAAGTATATGCATATTAACTGCCTTGATCATGAGAATTTTGCATGTCAATAAAACAACTCTCTACCTTTGGATCATGTGGTCTTATGTATGGAACATCTTTCGTAACCAGAAAATAAGTCAGGCAATGATCTTTATAGGTGCATATTAAAACATGTTACCTTGTGAAGCAGCCCAGTGTTCTCTATAGGCCTGATGAGGTAGAACTTTATCTCCAACCTTGTAATGTTTACACAGTTTAATTGATAAGCAATAGGGAGAGGGTTTCATTCAGTGTCTTCTGGGATCTTGATTAATGTCACCATTTTGATAGCAGCATCTTTATATGGGCCATGAAATTATGTATCAAGGTTGCTTCAAGCACTTGGCTAGCCCCAAGTAATAATAGCCCCCATCTTGTTGGGGAGCCTGAGCACCTTGTCGTTCTACAACCGAACGATCAGGTTGGTTGCACAGTGTTTCAGCCCCTGAAACCTACGCATGTTTGAGTGCTTCCTGCTGACTGAGTTTGGCCAGCCTGTGCCTGTTGTCCTGCACGAACTCCCTGACGTCCTGGGGGTGAAGTTTGTGGTGCTCGCGCAGAGCCCAGCCGATGGCCTTCTGGATGAAGAACTCCTTCTCATGGCAGCATTGCAAACACATCCTGAGCAGGGAACAGCAAGTTATAGGTTTGATAAAGTGAAATCATATAGTGGAACTCATATGTTCCACTTAGAATTTACTGGGTCAATACTATAGAGTTGCAGGCATGCCAGTTGATGAAGACATGGGAGGAATGTGGAACATTACAGGTTCATTTCGGCTTTGTTACATCAGGTTGTACAGGGTCGGCAGATTAGTTAGGCCATACAAATGTATGTCAACTTAAAAACAAATTTGTCTTAAACCTGTGTATGTTACCATTTAAGGTTAAGAACCTTAATATGAAAGAAGGGGAGGAAAGCCAGTTGACAACAGATACTCAAAAGTTTAAGGAATCAAATTGTAAATGTACCTCTAGGACTCCACAGTTCAGATTATAAGAAAAAAAAAGCACATGAAATGGCGACAAAGTATTTTGAAAGCATATTTGACCCACCTGAAGAGCCTGCCCTGGTTGGTGTTGTGTTTAGCCTTGAGCTGGTGCAGGATAGCAGTTCTTCTGAGCCACAGGTTCTCATCCTCCACCCACTCCTCCATCACAGGCACCATGGTGGTGGGGTACCTCAGCACAAACTCACCCACCACTTATACAGGGAACATGCGCATGTGTTTTAAGGCATTGGTCTCATGAAGGCCACTGTGTGAAACTGCAAGTGACACAGGCTCCATTCCCAACCCCTATTAAGCATATTTGTCAAAACATTGCCCATTTTGGGGAATGATAAAAGAAAAAAATTTGGGTCATTTACAGTGGTCAGGATTATCCCATTTCTAGAAGGTCATCTTATTTCTCTAAGATGAACAAACATTTCTCTTCCTCTAAGATAACCAAACCAATCCAGCCAGCCCACCACCCCAACCCCCAGCAGTCATGATCCTTGTTCCTCACCATTGCTAGCCAGCATGTCCACAGTGTCCCACCAGCTCTTTGTCGTGATGAGTTCCTTCACACAGTCCAGTGACGTCTTACACCTCCCCTCCTCCTCCCCAGCCAGCACCTGCCAGCACCTGATCGCCAGGTCCGTGCCGCACAGCTGGAACTCCCGCTGGGGCTGTTGCCATAGTAACCTCAGCAGCTGACGGAGACTCTCCACCTCTAACGATGTGAGGTCATCAAGGACCTGTGGAAAACATGTATCACATACATGTTGGATCCCTTTCACATGTTTCGGTAAAGCAAGGCGATTCAATTGTGGGACAAAATTGCACCTTGCACGAAGATCAAATGAGGTAACTATATATTCTAAGTAAAATTCTATTCTACTGTTGTTGGGTTTGATCAACAACAACGTCTCTAAAGGCAGTTGAAAGGATAAATGTAGCAATTTAAGTAAGAGGTAATGAAAGAGCTAAACATAATAGCTTACATAATCTAGTTTGCAACATTACCTGTTTGTCTATAGCTCTTCTCTCTGGAGCCGAAAGACCGTAGAATTCGAACTGGTCACGCATGTACCTTTTCATCTGCATCGCCTTTGCACCGTCAGCCGCTTTACTGTAAGCCTGTCTTAATCTGTTGACGATCGTTTCTGAAAAGTTTCCCGTACTTTTGCCAGCAGTTCGCGACGGTGCCTGGGACCCGGAAGTCATCCTCACCGAAGCCATCTGACACAAAGCTTCACTCTTTCTGCGACTCTTCTTCACTTTTGGCATAATTGCAACAACGGCTGTACTTTGGAGTCCGCTGAGTATATAGCCGTTCAGTATTGATACCATAGACGGTACCAAATATTGCTTTTCACGACGAAACAGGGGGTAAAAGTGGTAAAAGCCAGCCCGTATTCAGGCAAATGCGTGTTCCCGCCAAAATGTCAAAGTTCATAGGTTGTTACGTCACCGACATTAGCGGCTCACATTTGAGGGTATTTCGGTATCGGCATGGCCTTTACCCTTTGTTGTGTATCCGTATACTCGACTCCCCAATACAGACTCCTTTAGCCTCCGAGAAGTGCGTACTACTTTTGGGTACAAGGTGCAAGGACGGGCGGAATCCTCAACGACCTCTAATCTCTCCTTCTGTGGCGTGTTGTGTACCGTTACAAGAAAGTAACGTTACCTGACGGACGCGGGTCAACATGCGGTCAGTCTTTTCGGGACAGACGGCAGCCTTGGTGGCGGTTCTTGTCGCCGTTGTCACAGCAGGCCCCGTGGTGAAACGGGACATCTACGGGGGATGGCCGCAACAGGTGCATCTGTCCTACGCAGGTGGGTGGTGGCGTCTTCAGGGGGCGTAGCACTGAGACCTACCGTAGGGCGCCTCCACAGAAGTTTGCTAAGATAACTTCTAACGCCGATATGACGTGAAATATTTAGCAATTTGCACCTCAACATTGAAAACTGATTGGAATCTACGTTTAACTGCACTCCAGATCCAGATAAAATATTTAATTCTAATTATATGACACAGAACAAGAAAGGAATGTGAATTTTAGTAAAACGTTAAACTTTATGTGAATTATTTGCGAAAAATTCCTTTATCAATGATTAACAATGAAAGACCAACAGTCAACAAAAAAAGGATAGGGTCTGTTGGATTTTGCTTATAAGGTCAGTTGGGTAATGAGGAACACAGCATTGCTCCCCAGTATTAATATGAAAAAAAAGCCTAATATTAAAACAAGCCTTTCTCCCCACCCAGGTTCAACCAGTGAGATGACGGTGACGTGGAGCACTGCGAACAAGACGGACTCTGTCGTGGAGTACGGGGAGGACGGGCTGGTGAAGACGGCGCGAGGGTCCAGCGTGGAGTTTGAGGACGGGGGAGACGAGCATCGTGTACAGTACATCCACAGGGTCACGATGACGGGTCTCACTCCAGGACACAAGTACAGTCAGTACATCTCTATTTATATTATAAGACAATGTAGATTACCCGTGTGACCTGATTGTACATATTATTTTGCTGTGCAGCTCTGTTGACTATATTAATCTCCAACAGTAATGATCACTTTAGCTTTGAAAAGTTTGAACTTTTGAATCTTTAACAGACCATTTAAGGATAATGATATACTAATCAAACTACATGTAATTCAAATAAATCGATGAAATATCAACAACCCTCTGCATTACAAGTTTCCAACTGTGGCAGATGGCAGGAGGCTGCAGTGATAGTTCACTTTTTCTGTTTCTTGATTATATTTCTCTCTAGTGTACATGTCTTTATCATAGTTGTTTTGCTATTTTGATACTTGTGTGTAACAATTTGACAGTAACAATTTCTTCTTCCTTCAATATCATCAGTGTACCACTGCGGCAGTATGGAGGGAGGCTGGAGTGACTTGTACACCTTCACTGCCATGAAGGATGGAGCAGACTGGAGCCCTTCCTTCGCTGCCTTCGGAGACATGGGTAATGAGAACGCCCAGTCTCTGAGTCGACTGCAGGGCGACACACAGAGGGGCATGTATGACTTCATCCTGCATGTCGGTGAGTCAGTGATATCAGTCTGAACATGAAACATGAAATGAGTTGTTGAGTTTATGATGGGCAATCATTATATTAAAGGAGAATTATCTTTCTTGAATATTAGTATTTGACCTATAATGAGTGAAAGTAAGTCTTATGTTTTGAAGTGTATATTTGCCTTTAATCCCATCACTCACACCTAAATGTTAGGTATTTGGTAACATCTTTAATATTGCCTATTAAGTTTCTGCTTTGTTTCAGGTGACTTTGCATACGACATGGACACTGTAAGTTGTCTTCACTGTCTAGATGTTTTTCTTTATTTCCAAGCAAAATGATTGTTATATTTCTGCAGTATTTTCTATTTGAAAATTCATTACTTAAGAAATGTGACAAGTGCTTTTGAACAATTGGCTGTATTTTTCAGGAGAATGCCCGTGTGGGTGATGCCTTTATGAACCAGATCCAGTCTATAGCTGCCTATGTACCCTACATGACATGTGTGGGCAACCATGAGAATGCATAGTAAGAGCAACATTTTCTGTGTACATGTACACATGTATATGAATGTCATCCTCCAAATCATGTTAATTTAATTTGTTAATTTGTTTGTCCACACTAGCTTCAGTTGGCCATGCTAGCTGTATTTCTTCTACTGTACTAATGCCTGTTCTTTTTTCCCTCCACAGTAATTTCTCCAACTATGTCAACAGGTTCTCTATGCCTGGAGGGGTGCAGAGTCTGTTTTACAGGTAAGGCTGGTATCTGTCCATGGTGCTGAATTATTGTTCCTTTGCCTGAATATCAGCAGTTGCAGACCTAGATATAACACCTGAGAAAAGACAGTGTACAAAGGCAGTGCAGTCTTCTAAGTTGTTGAAAATTTATGAAGATAGATTCTTTGGAGGACTGGTACCTGACCTTGGTGCTGAATCATTCTCCCCTTTCTTAAATTGTTTAAGTGGTAGGTTTAGAGGGAGTCGATGAGAGGGATAGTGCTGACCAAAAAGGAATGTGAAGATGAGAATGTTTGTATGTTTGTCTCTGTGCGTTTATGCGTGTGTGTTGAATGTGTGCATGTGTACACGCATGTGTATGTAATCTCATATTTTTAAATTTCCAGCTTCGATGTTGGCCCTGCCCATATCGTTGGTTTCTCCACTGAGTTGTACTTCTATATCCAGTATGGTCTAAAGCAGATGACAGAGCAGTACAAGTGGCTGGAGCAGGATCTCATGGTTTGTGCCTCATTTGTCTCACTGTTTTTTGAGAGGCAGACTCTTTTGAAGTTTTTGCATGTGTATCCCTCCCTTAGTTGGTCTCACATGCGGTTGATGTTACCCTTTGTTGTCTACGGTCCCTCCTCACTTCCCTCTGATTTCTGCCATGTCTCCTGTAGGAAGCCGCTAAGCCGGAGAACAGGAAGCAGCGACCCTGGATCATCACCATGGGCCACCGCCCGATGTACTGCTCCAACAATGACCACGATGACTGCACCAAACACGAGAGTGTAGTAAGTCTACTTTCAGTTACAGTCAAACCTGTCTAAACCATAGGGACCAATTAACGGGCTTGAAGATAAAATGGATTCTCAATGTTTCAATCAGTGGGACAAACAAGTGGGAAAATTGACCAAGTGCTGACTCTTTAGGCTAGGGTGGTTAACATGGCCTGGATTCAATGTATGCACACTTGATTTGGCTACCCAATTATCAGTTACAGGGTTAGGCAGCAGGGAGAATAATAAAGGGTGACTCCATACTTAAGTCACCACATTGTTAAAACTGCCAATTGCTAAATTGATATACAGCACATTTGTGTAAATAGAAACATATAAGAGTGTTTATGTACCACAGGAACAACAATGACTGAAGATAGAATGGATACACAAGTGAAGTAAGTCTGCCCTGAAATACATACTGGCAGATTAGCCAGTTATATGAAGGGAACAAGGTTTATGTACGGGGGAGGAGGTGTGGCTCTGCTGCATGCATATCTCATAGGTGTGATGTTATGATTATGAAAGATATGTGCATGTTGTTTGAATTACAGTTATTTCTTCTACAAGCTCAAAAGGGATATAGAGGGCAATGCCGATGATGGAGAGAAACAGTCTGTTTACATCCCATTCCTTTTTTTTGTAGGTGCGTAAGGGGCGTGTTGGCTTCCCTGGGGTAGAGGACCTCTTCTACAAGTACGGTGTGGACCTGGAAATCTGGGCACATGAACACACTTATGAGAGGCTGTGGCCTGTCTACGATTACAAGGTAAGGTGATGTTATTCATGGTTACATTTCATTTCATAATTGCGTTGTCTGAAACAACTCCATGGGAAAAATGGCATTTGCTATCCAGGGTAGTTACCATTAGAAGTGAATTAAAGCTAACAAACACTGAACTCCAGACTTGTTGTTCATCCCTCGTGGTTGATACTATAGAAACAGCTGTCTCTCTGTCCTCATACTAGTTTTATCCCTTCAGTGTGTGAGAAATGTTGACCACAATGTGGCCTTGTTGTTCTTGATGTTCAGGTGTACAACGGCAGCATGGCCACCCCCTACACCAACCCCAAGGCTCCTGTGCACATCATCACTGGCTCTGCAGTATGTACATGCTTACTTCTCATTCTCTACTCTCTAGTTTATACTTTAAATAGTCAAAGAACCACTTGAAGGTGAATTTATATCTCTATATCTGTATTGGCAAACCAACATACATTGTATTCATCAGGGAAGCAAACCAGAGGAGTGAACCAGAGGTAGAATAGGATGGATACCAGAATACCCATTGGTGGAAACATAATGTGGAAGCTGAAAGTAACTTGTATGTTTTTAATTCTTACTCAGGGATGCAGGGAGCGTCACGATGGTTGGGTCCCCAACCCTCCAGCCTGGAGTGCCCTCAGGAACTCTGACTATGGCTACACCAGGTTCAAACTGCACAACTCCACACACCTGTACCTGGAACAGGTGTCAGATGACAAGGTAGGTTACAGGTGCACAACTCCGCACACCTGTAGCTGGAACAGGTGTCAGATTACAAGGTTTGGTTACAGGTGCACAACTCCACACACCTGTACCCGGAACAGGTGTCAGATGACACAGTAGGCTACAGGTGCACAACTCCACACACCTGTACCTGAAACAGGTAGTTTTTATCATCATTAAGAGTTGATGATAGTTCTTGATGAAGGTACATGTAATTGCAGATGAGGCAAATGCTCAATGCAGCAACGTTTTGAATCAATGTGACTTTCATTATGTTTTCTCATTTCAGGATGGACAGGTGATTGATTCTATCTGGGTCATCAAGGACCAGCATGGTCCATACAGCCACACCTGAAAGCACCTGTGATACCTACAGCTGCAGCTGACATACCTGAAAGAGGAGGGGGAAATTAGTCCACTCAGAAGGAAGCACTTGAAAAGAAATCATAGTAGTTGGAAATAATGAAAATTAGTTGCATTTAGTTTCAATCTCAACAGAATACTAGTATCACATCAGAAGTGTTATCAGAACCTCTCCTGTTTTTTTAAGGACAGTCTTTTGAAATCCAACTATGCTGGTGTATATGTTTTCTTTTAAATGTTTTAAAAGAGTTTTATTCTAAATCTTTTTGTTCTCCATAATGTATTACCAGTAACTGTCATGAATTCTGAAACATTACATTCTTATATAAGTTATAAGTGAAATCTATTGTTGCAGTGATGTGATTTACAATCAATAGTTACCATATTTGAAAATATATGCCAAGTAGCTGGATTAGAAATGAATCTCATTTTAATGTGCCAAATCTTGGGATGATGTTTATTTCCTCCTCTAGGAACCCACCCCAGTCTGAAAATGAGTCAATTGAAAGTAAATTTTACACTGAAATAAAAACCAGTGATCATTGGTTCTCAACCTGGTGTCTTCATTGTAACAGGCCTTTCTTGATCAAAAATGTAGACATCCTTACATATCGAGACAAACACCACAAAAGAACATGCCTTCTTAAGGTTACACCTGTTTATTGACAACTTGTTCAACTGTCTGCAGACTCTGCATTGATGTTTGGTTGTGTTATAAGACTTAACATTCAAATGGCATGATAGCAACCTGATGAAGATATATGCACATCTTACAGTATTGGAGCAGTTATTGCTATTGTCTCTCTACATTTTTTGTTGAAATTGCACAACAGTAAGAAATGGACTAAAAAAATCACCACAGATGGCCATGGCTGTGGTAATTCATAAATAAAACAATAAAAACACAAACAGTTCTAAACTCAAGAACCACATGTTTCGCAGTGATTGTCCATTCAAGTCAGTCAGTACAAACTCAGGTTAGACATTGCAATATGGGAGAACTGCCAAACCAGAGAAGGTGTGTTCCATGGCATACACCAAGGACATTATATATATATATCCTTGCCTACACCTTGTCCTCAGGCTCTGTCTTTATTGTTCTTCTTCATCTTTAGCATTCCAAGAAACAGACAGACATATGTAGAACAATAGTGGTACAATGTTGATGGTTTCCTCTGTCAACCATTAATTATTACCCGCATGTCTGACAGAAGTACCTCATCCTACATTCAGTCTTATTTTCCTGAATTCATAACTCTAGGATCTTACCTATTACAAGTACAGAAGGTTGGTTATGAGTGATTTACACCACTTCTGCACTCACATACCATAAAATATATGTCATGTTTTCAGTACCGATATTTGCAAACAATTTTCAATTCAACATTGGGAGTTTTACGTCTTCAAATTTTCTATGACTTGTTGCTGATTATGTACATGTACTAAAGTTCATTTATAAAAAATGCTTCTTGAATATACATGCATCATGTACGTATAATACTGTTGCTGCTAAGTTTCTGTACAGTGGTAAATTGGTCTGTATCCTTTTTTTCTCATCTTTAAACTACATGTAATGCAAAATAACATGAGCACCACAATACTACAACTGTTCACATGGTACCATATCAGAATCTAAATGTCAAAATCAGTCAAATATGTACATATATTGCTTCCTTTTTACAAGACAGAACATTTACAATCTGTAATAGTAGACTATTCAGTATAATATTATATTTAAAAAAAGAATTTTTAGAAACATATTATGACAAACTCTCAAACCATAAGATACTCAATGGCATTCATTTTCTCCAGCTTGATTCTGGTGTGGCAACATTTTGATCACGAATGTTCACTGTGTGATCTTCTGAAAAGTACACAAAATGCTGACTTTCAGCCAGAATGGAACAGATATTTGGTTCTGTAGTCTCTTCACTCCTGTGGGGTCTGCAACCTTTACTCTGTGGGATCCGACAGAATCATTAGACTTTACTCTTCGATCCTGTAAGATTTGTAGTTATTACTACATGGGTCCTGAAGGATATTCACTTTTACTGGGGATACTGTGATATCTGTAGTATTTACTCTGTGGGATCCTGTGGGATTTGAAGTCTACTCCTTGGGATCCACAGGATATGTAGTCTTTGCTCCATTGGATCCAGGATCTTTATTTTGTAGGATCCGTAGATCAGAGTCCTTACTCCGTGGGATCCTGTACGATCTGCAGCCTGCGTCTCTCCCCCCAGATGAGCGGTCTTCTCTCATCGCCCCCCTCAGACTCGGGCAGCGCGAGGTCGTACTCTCGTTTTCTGGAGACGACAAAACACTGGACCGTCACCATAGAGGTGGTCAGTGCCCAGACCAGGAACAGCACCCAGCCAAAACTCTGCAGATGAAAAACAAAACATTCTAATTACCAGATGTTACAATTTTTACCTGTACCTTAAAGGTGCCCTAAGCGATATCTGGCCGATAGTAGGCTGGGAGCATTAAATTTCAAAAGTCTGTCTTTTTGTCACATTTTCACGCAGTATGTTGAATCAACCCTATCCTATCCCATACCGATAGTCATGGAGCAAAAATTCGATGCCGCTTTGCCGTACGAACGCCGTGAAAAACTACGTGCCTCCCGCCACCGGCAGTGGTGTCGGCCATTTTTGAAATTTCCGAGCGCTCGCGAACACTTCCGACTTCTTCCGACCAGAGCCGAGGACGAGTCACGTGGTTAACCACGAACGCGCTGAATCAGTCGAACTGCAGGTCATCCTGAGTTTCCGCTACATATTGATACATTTCGCGTAATGTCATAAAATTCGTTTCCGTTGGTATGAGAAACTGTATGAATGTGGCTACCACATGCGATATAATAAGTGTTATGATAACATTCAAGTATATACAAAAAGAGGAATTGAATACAAGGTTCTGACCATTCAAAAATCGTCAAATTTGAAGTCAATCGGTTTCGAACTCTTGCGTTCGATCCATGGAACCAAGGCAGCGCGTTCC